ATTCAATTATACTATGTCTGGTGATATAGCCAATTCTATTGAAGATAACAAGTGACAACACAGTAACCATGGTAGAACTCCTTGTACAGTGGTTTTATATCTTTTTTGTTTCATGTGTTTATAGGACTATGTTTTGTTTTGTCCTGCTTTGTTTTGTTTCTCCCTCTAATATAGAAAGGATAGAAATACATGTTAAGATTCATGCATGTGTAGAACCTATAAACAGTTTACCTGAACTGATCTTATGACACATGATGAAGTGAACAAATACTTTGAAGAAAAAGAGACGCTATAGTAGCCAGTGCTGATCCCAGAGTGTCATGATGTGAAACCCAGCAATACTAGTATTCTTTGTTCAGACTGATTTTAGCCTGCTTTTGGTTTGTTTAGTCCCAACAAAAATGAAAATATGGATAACTTCATGTATGTTTAAGTGTATAGGATTGATAACCATATTACTAAGTTTTTATTAGATAGTTGAACAGAACCATTTGCAGTCTCACTGTTTGAATCCCCACTTTATGTTTCACTTTTGTATCTTGAACAACTATTTGTAAGAGGACAACATGTAAACATCAACTAGTGATTTCCCACTGTTTATTTTTTCTTTGAAAGTATGTATTATTTCTACTCATTTTCTCTTTTGTTTAGTCTTTCTTTAAATAAAGTTAAAAAAAGAAAAGCAACAGCCAGCCCTGTACCAGCACATCCACTGGCCACTATCAGATACCTGTAGCCAGTGCTGGAGAGGAGAACCGAACAGTCACACTTCAGAGAAATTGTAGCCAACCAAGGAAGTATCAGGGACCCCACCATCTGCTTGTCCTAAAGAACCCAAGAAAATATCAAGACAAAGAAGCAGAAGGCAGTCTCTTTCCTCCAATGCAAGCAGAGAAAGTACAGGAGATGTAAACACAGAAGAGATTGGGAGCCACACAGCTAAGTTTCTGAAGTGATGGCAACTGAAGTAAAGAAACAACTTCATGATACTATAAAATAAATTAGAACAGAAATACTATCTCAGGTAAAAGAAGAAATGAAAAACATAATAAAATAATGGCTAAGCACCTCTAAAGAAGACATAAATAAAAAAAACAGAGGAACATAGGAAAATGAGGGAAACTTGAATGAACAATATAAAAAAATTTAGAATACATGAAACAGATTCAAAGAGATATTTAGGAAATTGAAAACTCCATTGAATTCTAGCAAAACCACTTAAAAGAACCTGAATATAGACCTTGAAGACAGATTTTGCGGCTAGTGATAACCAAAGGAAAGATCTCTTTAAACATAGCAAGGAACCAATAAACAACAATTCAGTGGCTGCAAGATGGCACAAAGAAAAATAGTTTAAGAATAATAGGTGTCAGCAAAAAAGCAGGGATCAACATAAATAACATAAAAAGTCTGTTTACAGAAGTAACAGCAGAAAACTTTCCTAAGCATGGGAAAAGGATGTAACAAACAGTTAAGTGAGGCATATAGAACCCCAGCTAGCTATAACCAAAATAAATCTACACCAAGATATAATAATCAAGATCCCAGAAAGTCAGCACAACAATAGAATATTAAAAGCTCTTTGAGAAAAGAAACACATCTCCTATAAAAGAAAACCCAACAGAATCACACCAGAGTTCTCAACACAAATCATCGGGTCAAGAAGATACTGGAGTGAAGTATTTCAAGTCCTGAAAAAAAAAAAAAAAAACAGCTTCCAACCCAGACTGATGTACTCAGAAAAGCTACCTTTCAAAATTAATGGAGAAACAACATACTTCCATGACAAAGAACAGCTGAAGGAAATTGTGACCACCAAACCAACCCTACAAAGAATACTGGCAGACATTCCAAAGAGAGATAAAAATGACCACAGTTCCAGCAACAGCAGCAGAGGGGAACCACTGAGCAGAGCAGACAACTGAACGGAGAGAGAAAGTAGGCAGCCAGTGACAGGAAAACAGCATCACAGAGATGAACAGTCAATGTGGCCATAACCATTAATATAGACGGCTTCAGTTCCCCAATAAAAAGAAGCACAGGTAGAGTGGATCACAAGACAGGATCCATCAATATGCTTTATTCAAGAAACACTTTTAACTGAAAAGGAAATTCATAGGCTAACAGTGAAAGGAGAGAGAATAATGCTCTAGGTGACAGAGAGCCAGAAAGAAGTGGAGGTAGCTTGCCCATCAACTGCAGAATGGATAAGAAAGATATAGCATTTTTATACAATGGAAAGCTGCTGAGCTATAAAGATAACACTGAGGCTTTTGTAGGTAAATGAATACAACTTGATAGCATGTTCATGGGTAAAATTTTTCAAAGTCACCTGGGTAGATATCATGTTGTCTCCCTAGTATAAAAAACTAGAGTTAGTGGGATCCAAAATGCATAATAGATGTTATGAAAATGAAAGAGAAGAAAATGTCTAGGAAGTGAATGCAGTCTCCATTATTAATCTAATATCATGTTTTGAAACCCTGTATTGTTTTCATTGTTCTGTTTCATTTGATTTTATTATATTTTATGGCATGGACAGCTATCTCAAAGATATCAAATTATGGTAGCCATTGTTGATTTCCTGTTGTCTTGTTTCAAAGCCCTGTATTGCTTTCATTGTTTTGTTTTGGTTGATTTTATTCTATTTTGTTTTGTTATGTCTGATGGAACAGGCAGCTATTTTGAAAATAACAAGAGGCATTATGGTAGCCATTGCTGATTTCCTATTCTTGTTTTGAAGTCCTGTGTTGCTTTCATTGTTTTTTTTTTTTTTTGGCTTTGTTTTGATTAATTTTATCATGTTCTAATGGGCCGGGGAATGAGTTCAGCTGTGTAAGTGCCTGCCTGGCAAGAATGAGGTCATGAGTTTGATCCCTGATACCAAATTAATCAATTAATTAATTAATTAAAGGTATGGTAAGGTTTTATTATGTTCTGGGTTTTTTGTTTGTTTTATTATGCCTGATGGTATGGGCAGTTATTTTTAGGATAACAAGACTCATGATGGTAGCCATTATTCATTTCCTTTTGTCTTGTCTTGAAGTCCTGTGTCACTTTCATTGTTTTGTTTGATTGATTCTATTCTGTTTTATTCCACTTGGTTTTATTCTTTTCAAAATGAAAACAATTTAAAATTTGATATTTACTGTCTTCTAGAGTTTGGTTTAAGTAATCAAACATTGATACTAAGTTCCATGTAGTTCATTTTATTGCATTTTAAATATACATGCACCATGCTATTTTACTTTTATTTTTCTATGTAAATTGTTCTTTCTTGTGTGTTGTAATATATTAGATAGTGTCCCTGTCAATAGCTTCTTTTCCCATTATTTCTGTGGATCTATGTATGTGTGGCTTACATTTTAGAAGCCAGTCTTGGACTTTCTGGTGTCAGGGAACTTCTAAGCAGCAAGTGAAGTGGTACCATTGTGAAAAGCCACCCATGTGGCAAGGAGGGAGTGACAGGTGAGCACCGCAGATGATGACACAGAAGGTTCCAGAAACATCAATAGAATTCAAGAATATACCCCCAGTCATATTAAAAACGGAGAGTTGGGAAGTAATTTTTACTAATGGGAGAGCTGGGTTTGACATAGTCCTAGAAGAGCACAAGTCAGCTGACCAAGATTGAACCTTGCTAAGTTTTCCCTCATCCTTTCCTTGAAGTTAAACCCAATAGTTTAATGTAGAGAGAGGAATGAGACTACCTTTCTGAACAACATGAATTTGGCTTCCTTGAGTCTCAGTGAGAGAAAAGGGTGAGAGATAGAGGGAATATGCTTCTTTTATTGCCTTCACACACCAAGACATTAGAATACGAATATAGATTCGAGTCTTTTGGTTCTTAATTTGACCAACTGGAAGGGCTCCAGTTTTCCTGCTTGTGAAGATTATTACAATATGCATCCACACACATACATCTTTTTGCACTTGCACCATTTCCTCTAATTCATTTCTAGAAGTATAATTGGAACTCAGAAGTATGCATACTATAGTTCTCCTTGGTATCTTCTCTCAGGCAAGTTTTGTAGTAATGAAGGCAATTTGAGTTATTGTGGGAGATGACCAACTTGCACTCTTCTGAGAAACAAAGCCCCTTGCCTCAGTCTTTACTTGACCTTTACTTCAACTCTATTCACTGAGATATACAGAATTGACTATATAGAAATAGATGTTCCTCTAACTGGCCAAAAGAACATGAGTGAGTCTGGTCAAGACAGCAATGTGCCTCACTGCAGTATGCAGGTGAGAATTGTATTTCCTGCTGACAGCTGAAATGGGGGCTCATGCAAGAACCTGTGAAATCCAGGGCTAAGACATGAGACAATGGCTCAGCTGAGGCCATAGGAGTCAGAAATGATCATACCTTTCTGGTAGTAAATTTGCCAGCCTTGCATACATCAAGCTATCCGTTGCACTGTTAGTTGGAGGACCTCTCTGCCTGGTGCAAAAATGCTCTGTTTCTCTTTACTATCATTCTTAAAAAGTTCCCTTCCTTAGCACTCTACCATGACACCCACCCACCCCGATGTTGATAACAATAAAATCCATAAGCGTATGGACTTGTGGCCCTTTGTTCCACAGAGAGCATTGGGTCATCTCAGAACTCTTCAACTGTAGAATTTTCTCTCTGTGTCTTTCTTTGCATCTGTGAGCTATATTATTGGGTGGGAGACTGATATCCTCTGTAGGGGGTCCAGTGATTAGAAATCAAATATCTTATTTCTTTGCCAAGTAACCATCTTATTCCTTTGTCTAATTGGCTAGGGATATGTTTCTCCAGTTATTTCATGGCACGGACACTTAAAACAAAGAGAACAATGATGGTTGACTAGATTCCTCCACGCTTGCCAATACTTAAATGGAATTTGATCTGAGAATGAAGCTGAACATCAAGGTAGAAAATTATTATTCATTGATTAAAGGAGATAAAAATTATTTATTTATGAAAAAGTAAAGAACTGTTGGGATCAAATAAGGCAACATTGAACAAAACATTATATTATAAATCTGCTTTATTTAGAAGTTATAAGAAAGCAAAGAGCAGTGAAGATATCACAGGGATACAGGTCTATACACAAGAGGACTTGTGCTACCATAGTTACTACAAGAGAATCTCACAACATGTATAAAATGGGACATTCTTCAATCAACTGAAATTAAAGGGGAGCTGCTGTTTTTAAGTCCCAAGCAGGAACTTCTCGTAGCAAAGTGTTGTGGATAATTCTCCTATAGTGTTCAATCTCAGCAATAACACAGTGCAGGTAAGACCTTGATAACTGAGAAATTCAGTGAGAAATCAAATGTGAGTAAATCATGATGTTGCACAGAGGTTAAGATTCTGAGGTCTAGCAATTAAGGAAAAATGGTACAAAGAGTAAAAAGAGGGGCTTGCTCATGCTCAGCTCTAACTACAGAGCAGACCGCAGAGAATAACAGGGGCCTGAGGAGAAGCTCTGTGGCCACAGGGACCAAGCACTTGGATAGGAGTTGAGAGGACTTCAGTGCTTGTAGCTCTTCCTGCTGGAGGAGGAGGTGGTGTACTTAATAGAGGATGTGCTGCCTCCAACAGAGCTGAGGCCCCCACCGACGCTGATGCCTCTGCCACTGCCAGAGCTGAAGCCACCTCCAAGGCTGTGGCCAGAGCTGTAGGTGTAGCCGCTGCCTCCTCCTAGGCCTACACCACTGCCCATGCCGCTGGCGGCACTACCATAGCCGCTGGAGACGGTGGACTGCACCACGGCTGTGGAGAGGGAACAAGGACACGGGACATAGTGAGCACATTCTACCTGACCTGAGCCAGGGATGGGCTGGGGCGGGAAGGGCAGGGAAGCCAGATACTTACAGATGTTGACTTGTCCAACACCTTCACCGTTCAGCCTAGGGGAAAAGGTATAGGAAGGTAAGACCTAGAACCTGCTACCTGGAGCCCTGGGGAAGCCTCCAGCTGGGGACAGTAATGGGGAACTGCTCCTTAGTTTTTTTTAACAAGAAAAATAGTTACAGTTATAATTACCATTCTAATCTTGTGTTCAGTGTGGGACAACTTGGAGATATTAAAGAGGATCGAGCAAGTGTATAAGGGACCCACCTGCACTCTTCGCCTTCCAGTAACTTCCTGTAGGTGGCGATCTCTATGTCCAAGGCCAGTTTGACATTCATGAGCTCCTGGTATTCCTTCAGCAGCCTGGCCATGTCCTGCTTGGCCTTCTGCAATGCATCCTCCAGCCCTTCCAGCTTGCTCCTGGCATCTTTAATAGCAAGCTCTCCACGTTGCTCGGCATCAGCGATGGCAGCCTGCAGATTGGCACACTGGAGGGGAAGCAAGGAGAACAGACCTATAGTTTGGTACCACCCAGAGCACTAGCCCTGGGCCTTCATTTCCATTGAACAGGAGTCCAAGAGACTAGAATTGATAGAAATGACCTCTAACTGATTCTATCTTGTGTACCTGCTTCTTGACGTGGTCGATCTCAGATCTCAGCCTCTGGATCATGCGGTTGATCTCAGCGATTTCCTGCTTGGTGTTGCGCAGGTCATCCCCATGTCTGCCCGCTGTTACCTGCAGTTCTTCATACTGTGGTGGGGCAGGATAGAAATATATATGTTTTCCCTTGAACAATGAAATTTTATTTTTAAAATAAGACACCTTGTAATCATGATCTTTCTGTTGGAAATTTTAGGAAAAGTTGATGTTATGTGATTTGCAACTCCACATACTGCAGGTCAACTGAAGAGACAAAAATCTATATGGGTTTCATATGCAAAGAAGGGTTCTCACTTCTAAAGCAGATATGAAATCACCCTGAAACTTTTAGAAAAATAGATTTTACCCAGTGACAAAACAATGGTTTGTGATCACACTAGAGACCACACACTGGTTCTCTTAGGATCTGACAATGTTCTGCAGTGCTTTCTGAGAAGAAACATTTGGGGTACAGTTAAGCAAGATGATTAGGTCTTTAGGAGATATCTTTACTTCTTCTCTGAGTCCTTTTGTTTTCTAAATTTGGCATTAGTTTTGTAAATGTCTAATCAGGTAGAGTGTACTTGCTGTGATACCTCTACTTTCTTTCAGTAGTTCTCCCATTCCAGTGCATCAGAAGCCTCCTGGTATTAGGAGCATGAGCCCTGGAGCACGGGCACATAGATTCTTCAGCAGCTGCCACCTGACTTCTCACCTTGGTCTGGTACCAGGACTCAGCCTCAGCTCGGCTCCTCTGAGCAATTTCCTCATATTGGGCTCTGACTTCAGCAATAATGCTGTCCAGGTCCAGGCTGCGGTTGTTGTCCATGGATAGGATCACAGAAGTGTCAGAGACGTGAGTTTGCATCTGAGACAGTTCCTAACAGAACAGAAGATGCTAAGGTCATCTCTGTGCATAACACTTACCAACATTAAGGACTTCGTACATTTGCATCAGAGTGAAGAGCAAGTGGGGGAGGAAACTTACGGCCTCATAGAGGGCTCTCAGGAAGTTGATCTCATCAACAAGACCATCTGCCTTGGCTTGCAGTTCAGTCTTATTCATGTAGGCAGCGTCCACATCCTGGGGACAGAGGCAACAAAGAAAAGTTAGCTGAGCCCTCCTGCTCAGTCACCGTTTCTGGCTCCCTGGCATCTTATTGCATGTGACATTGGATGGGACACTGAACTGTATCTGTGATTCAGCAGAGAAACCTGAATCCCAGCTTGGCCAGCTCACCTTTTTCAGAGTCACAAATTCATTCTCTGCTGTTGTGCGCTTGTTGATTTCATCTTCATATCTACAAGGGAAGGTTATGACACATTTGAGCTAGTATGAGGGTAAAACCCAAAGGCTGACTCTGATCCCATGTTTCCAGATCCCTTTTCTCTGCTAAAGAGAGAACCAATGATGACTTCGTTAACACTAAATATTTTTTCTTTTGACTGTATCCCAAACTCCCATAACTCTCTTGTCTTACATATTTTTGCTGTTTGGCAATACTTTATAACTTTCATTTCTGGGCATATTTTCCTACAGACTTATTTGCACATCTAGACTTGTCCTCCACTGCTTTGAGGTGTGAGTTGTAGAACAGAATTCACTCTCTTTTTGACCCACTTGTTCTTGTAGTCTTCCACTGCGTCCTGCATGTTTCTCAGCTCGGAGTCCAGGCGGCCTCTCTCTGAAACGATGGAGTCCAGCTGCCTCCTGAGGTTGTTGATGTACTGCTCAAACAGAGGCTCCAGACTATGCCTGACTGTCCTGGTCCCCTGCTCCTGGAGCAGGCTCCACTTGGTATCCAGGACCTTGTTTTGTTGTTCCAGGAACCGCACCTGGAAGGGGCACAAAGTGGCTATTGGTGAGACAAAGGCAGAAAGTAGGGAGTGATAGGTAGGCAGGTGTCCCAGTGATCTGGGATTCTCCCTGATGCATGCTTCTGAGCACACACAGACTCAAGCCAAGAGTTTGGTCCTCTGCAATTTCTCTTTTCCACCACCAGACTCACCAAGGAAACCTCATGAACCACTAAGGACCTCTTGCCATCTAACTTACGGATCTAATCTGTGCCTTTTAACATTTCTTCTTCTCTTTCCAAGCACAATCACAATTCTAGTTTAAAATAGTATTGATTGATACATTGTACAAGTTTCCATTGTGGGAGGATTTCCTTTACCAGAATGTAAAGGGTGTCTAATGATTAGATTAACATCTAACCTCTTATTTAATGCAAGAAATATCCCAGTTTTCCAGTCACTGTCTGTTCCTGGAATAAATTAACATTTTACATATTGTGTAACTTACCCTAAGTTTTTCCTTCATCTAGCAAGAAAATTTTTTTCTTTTCAGATTTTCTTTAGCCTTTTCTCTCAACTAGACCCCAGAGTGAATCTTGGACCCAAACACTGCTGGCTTTGATTGTACCTCTTAGATCCTCAAGAGAGGAGACCTAGCTCCTCATAGCCACTGTCACACTGTGTCTTCCATGTGCCTGGAGGGGGCTCAGCAGTTCCAACTGCATCTCCTCCTGATCTTATCACCATGAGTCCATCTCACAGCCTGTGAAGTGTCAGTGTAAAGCTCCCTCTCTCTGTCCTAAATTCCCATGCTGGAGGACTGTTATGTCTCTAGCTGGTGTTCCTGAAATGCTCTACAGATGGCCAGGCCCATAGCTCACCTTATCGATGAAGGAGGCGAATTTGTTGTTGAGGGTCTTGATCTGCTCACGCTCCTCTGTTCTCACACGCTGAATGGTGGGGTCGATTTCCAAGTTCAGAGGAGTGAGGAGACTCTGGTTGATGGTAACCTCTTGGATGCCTCCAGGTGGACACACAGGGAAGCCAGCGCCCCCATAGCCACCACCAAAGCCAGCTCCACCACTGAGCCCAAAGCCGCTACCAGCTCCACCACCATAACCAAATCCATTGCCGATTCCACCTCCAAAGCCAAAGCCACCTCCAACTCTGCTGCCATATCCTCCACCAATGGCACAGCTGCCCCCTCCGATGGAGATCCTCTTGGAACCTCCTAGGTTGTAGAGGCTTCTGCTGCCAAAGCCAGCTCCTCCATACATTGCCCCAGTGCCACCGCTGCCCCTGGAGCGGCACACAGAGACACTGCTGAAGCCAGAGCGGCTGAGCCCAGGGACTCTGGCTGAGCTGGCACTGAAGCCACGGCGGCTGGTGCTTTGGCTCCTCACGGTAGTTTTGCTAGACATGTTTCCTGGGGCTGAGAAGGCTGAGAGGGTGTGAGAGGCTGAGGGCAGAGCTGAGAAGAGAAGTGAAATAGATGGGCTCAGGCAACAGCTTATATATGGTGCGGATGGGCTGGGCTTTCTTGTGGTAGGTGAGCTTGCAGTTTGGGAAGGGCATGGCTTTACAAATAATGAGATCACCCCCAACTTCTAGAAAGGTATGAAGCATGAAAATTGCTTTTTGGCTTCCTTTAGTCATGTAGAAATTCTCTTGCCTTCCAGCCTTGACTTGATCCCAGCACAATAAGTGGAGATGTAAATTCACTGAAGTCATGAGTTAGTCATGTTCTCAAACAAAGAGGACAAGGAACTGATCTGTGATAGCTGTCTTTTCCTTCTGCCTGTCCAGACACTGCCTGTGCGCCCCCTTCCCACACAGGTTTTCATTTGTACCAACACCTCCTTTCAGGACATTTGGGGGACACTCCCTTAGAGTTCAAAGCATTTGCCCAGTGACCTGAGCAAGAAGTGGCCTGCTGTGTTTTCTTTCCATGTTTGAGCCCCTTCTGCAGCTCTTTAGCTGTGCTTCCTGGTGGTCTAGGCATGGGAATGGGGGTATTCAGGGAACATAGATCTTCTCTTGTAGGGATAAATGTTTAGAGTTGAGATTTTTCATTGTAAGAGCAAAAGTACTTAAAATTTCATAGAAATTTTTTCTTATTATGTTTGATTTTTTTTAGGAATCAAGAATTAAACATTTTATAGGGTGTGTCCAGAAATCTGAGGGGCATATAGAAGTAATGAATCATTAAAATGTGCCCTTACAAGTATAATTGCTTCACAAGTAAATCCCAAATTTGTATTTGTAATGTCAGTGCTTGAAATCACAAATCTCTGGACTCCTTCTCAGAGGAGTGATAGGTTGTCCTATGAGCACAGCGCCTGGTTTATAGAGGAGTGAGTTTTATTTTCTCAGGCTCATACATTAAGTACTATGTATGTGGAGACAGAAAAATAATACTAGGTATATTGTTCTTTGAGAGCAGGTGTCTAAGTGTGCAAGTACGTGAGGAAAGACCAATATTTATGTTTAGATGAGACAACAGAAAGCACCTGTTGCTGTTGGAAACCCAGAGTCTTATCTCCAACACTTTGGAGGGCACAGCTTCCAGGGAGGCAAAGAGTTCTCTGCCCAAATGTGGTGCTAACTCAGCGTCTGGCAGGAAAGAGATGCTTGCTGCAGACAATAGCATTGGCAGCCCTGCCTCCACCCTGGTTGCTCAATGGTTCACAAGGAATGTGCTTCCACCCAGTTCTGGGAAAGAAGCACTCCTTCTCTTGGTTTGGTGCGCTGATCCACTGTACTCTCCTGAAAAAGGGGCATTAGGTGTGGCATGGATGATGCTGGGTTGGGTACAAAGGGTGAGCAAGTTAAGTGGGAGCAGTGTGCATTTACCCAATGTCCTAATAAGGGTAGGATAGAAGAGATGAAGATAGGTAAGAAAAAAGACAAGGAAAATCGTAATTTAAAAGTTGTATTTTTAAGAAAAATTCAACTTCAGAACATAATCATGGCTACCCATAGTTATGATGTCTTTTTTTTTTTCTTCCAGGAAACTTCCCAAATTCCTAAAAAATCTTAAAGATAAAATAATCCTGTAAATTTGATCCTTACTTCTCACCTCTTAATTGAAGGTGCCACTTCCTTCAGGCTATAGATTCACAAATTCCAAATTTTCATGTTCAAAAAGCAGCACTGTTAATAGTACCATATCCCTAAAGTGCAAATAAGTACAGACAGCTTACATTCTAAGCCCATGAACAGGTAACCTAGAGACACTAGGAATACACAACCTGGATAACCTGTCTTGAGGCCACTCTGCCAAAACACATAAACATTCCCAGCCCCAAACCACAGTGTACCTCTCCCTCGAGCAGTAACACTATTTTCTCTGTGTACTTCTTTTACTCCACCTAATATATCTCTCTCTCTCTCTGCCTCTCACTGACACCTCCTGAAATACTTTTCTATGGCATAACTTGGCAACCCTACTTACTGTCTGTAGATGGGGAGAGCTGGGGGTATGTATCACCTCTTTGAGAGGAACCTCCTTGAGCTGGTCTGGTGAAAGCATGTGTATACCGATATCCTATGTCTATAGCTACTTTCACACCATAGTGACAGGGTCCAGAATTTTACAACAAAGATTTTCACTTCCAAACTATAAAGTACTCCCCTCTCCCTTTAAAGCAAAACCTTGTCAACTTCTGGTTAAGAGTATGAACCTTGACATCAGACTAGGTTTTTAAGTGTCACTGACTCTGTCATACTTATTTTTTGTTAATGTAAAAGGAGGGCAAAACAGTAACTACATCACAGTGTTGTTTTGAGGCAGAAATGAGGTTATTTATGTGAAGATTTTATCACAGTATCTGGCACAAAAGTTCTCAATGAAAACGAGAATAATGTTCTGAAGAAGTATTGTGTGTAAGAATCCATGGGAAGCTTCAAGAATTAATATACTACGCTACATGTGTGTAGAGGGAGGGAGTAGCTAGAAACAGTGAGAAAAAGGAAGTCAATGTTGCAATCCCAAACGAACATTAGTAGGACTCTAGGAAGCCTTGTGTAATGGTTTGCCTTCCTCCCAGAGCCGTGTAGAGCCACAGCAGGCAGGAGAGCAGCAGGATTAGAAGAGCTACTTACAAACGTACAGGTGCTTGGTGAAGCAGCAGTGGGGAGACCCCCTCCCAAGCATGCACCATGCTGTCCAAACACCAGGGCGAAAACCTGATTGGAGAGAAACTGAGTTCTTGGCAGGAACCCAACCAACTGCTCGCTTTCCTCTGCAGCCAGTCTTCCTTTCTCTTCCCCTACTAGGTCTCAGGCTACCCTCCAGGCTGTGGCCTCAGAGAGCAGCACAGGGATTGCTATCAGCTCTTCTCTCAGTCCTAATTTCATACCTTTTTGAGGGTAGAGATGGAATCATCCTTAAATGAAGTTATCATTTAATCGTAGTGGGGACTTCACATTCAATCAGTTCCTACCAGTGGATAGTTTGACTTCTACATCTTCTTTAGTCCCAGAGATGCAAGTATTTCCCCACTGGCAGATTTATAAGACATTTTCTAATAAAAAATATCTTCATCCTCATCTGCCTGGGAATGCTGTGGGAACAAGTTCCAGTGGCACTGATACAGAGTGAGATAGGAGGCCCCACAAGAGATGAACAGGGCTTGCTAAAACGGTAGAAGAGTTGGGGGCAAAACTCTCACACCCTTCACCAGCAGGTCCATTTCCAATTTCACTTCCTGCTGGTCCAAACTCACACTTAAAGGACAACTTAGTACTTGGAATTCTCTCTCTCTCTCTCTCTCTCTCTCTCTCTCTCTCTCTCTCTCTCTCTCTCTCTCTTTCTCTCTCTCTCCCCTTGTTTGGTCTGGATACTGGGGGCATCCAGTGTTTTCCAGCTATGTTCAGCCTGCCACCATGGCTTGGGCTGTGTTTTTCTCCCTGTTAAGAACTCAGTCCTCTAAACCCTTCACGCTATGTTTTAGTACTCAGGGGAAGATTGTGGTCCTAAGCAATGGGAACCCCTGGAAGATTAGAGCTTCCTTCTTGGATGAAATATCCTGGTGCCCCTGGACTAGGTATCATGGTGGAACCCAGGGGAGCTCTGGGTTCCCAGAGGAGCTAAATGAGTAGGGCCTGGCCTTCATAACAAGATTATAACAAAGGATGATAGTTCAGGCAACTATGTGGGAGAAAATAAGCAAGCAACAGCCTGAGTAACTAAGACAGCTAACCTCCTCCCCAGTGGGCTGTGGAGTTTAGCACCCACCTCTGCCAGGAGAGCCCCATTCAGGTGCAGTCCCTCCCTCCAAAGATGTCTCTGATGCACTGGAATGCAGAATGCCTCCTTTGAGCCCAAAGTTTAACTTTATTGCTCATCTTGTTCCCAGTCTAGAGAAGGCACAGGAGGGAGGCCCTGGAGCCTGAGCCCATGGAAAGTCACTTCAAGAGGATTTGCCTCATCTCTCTACCTGCCTGGGTGGAGCTGGATGATGAGAATAAGGGATAGGCTGTTGGGATCATCATGAAAAGCTAAAGACTAAGCACATAATCCTGCAAGCCACGACACAAGATGATGTTGTTCAGAGGGAATCCCACAGACCCAGTCTGGTTCTTGGGAGCACCCAGGGAAAAAAACGCACCGAGCCACTGCAGATGTGATAACAGACAGCAGCTCCAGGGGTGGAGTGGAAACTGTGGCTCCTAACAGACAGAGTGGCTGAGGAAGTACAGAGACTGCATTCCATAGTAACTATGTTGCTGTGCAGTCAACTCAGAACTCCTCTCATATTTCTTAACTTTTGGACACATGATCCACCTATTTTTTGCAGAGAACACCAGGTTAGGATCACATGTCTAGACATGTTACCAGAGAGCTTTCTCTGAAGCTGTAGAAAGTCTCTGACAACTCCATTTTCCAGGGCAATAGAACTCTAACTCAGGTCCATTGGTTACTGAGAGAATATTTTTCATAATGCTTAAATAGATCACTTCCGAGCATTGACCTATTTGTGGAACAGTGGTCCCAAATCTCTGAATGTCACATTCTGTGAATTTTCCAGTAAAAATGTGTCAAGAGCCTCTTCCCCCATGCATTTGAGAGGACAAAAGAGAGCACTATGGCTGCTGTATCAACAATCAAAAGTAGTGCATGACAAAGACTCTAGAACAAGCTGGGTACAATTATTAATCTACAGGTTTATGCCTGTGCTATGCCATAGGGGTCATATACTGAGTATACAATTACAGAAATAACTCTAATTGTTCCTTTATAAACTACTTTTGACATGTTTCTATAGAAATCTGGCTTCTGAGTAAGTATTCAATTTGTTTTCATTCACCTTGTACATACTGATACTGGGTAGGCAGGTACACTTGAATGGCTACAGCATTGATAGGGGCAGAATTAGCTAAGGACTGAGAACATATTTGGAATGAGAGGACAGTATTTGGCTTACCTGGGTAAAGTAGTTGGAGGAAGAAGAATGATGTATTTTGCAAATGAGGC